ACAGTCACGCACTGCTACATGAACAGACTGTTGTGAGGATTGCATAGGGGGGGCAACGACTGCTGTAATGGAAACGAAGGAAATCCCACCGTTTTTACATTTATTTCAAAGTGCTTTCATGCCTAAATAAAAGAAAAGCACAGAACAGAGTCGCATTTAAGAGTAAGGTGTAAGGCAAACCCTTGGTGGTTTGGCTGTATGGGTTGTGTATAGGGAGGATCGGCTCTTTGCCAGCCTTCATAGAAATATTGAAAATACGGGGGAAAAATGGAAGGGTTGACAGGTTAAACAGCAGTAGGTTTCCACTTTATCAACTCTAAATAAAAAACAAAAACATGTATCATGTATAACCCCTCTCATCATGGTACAGTAATTAATAATTTTGGAGATTCAGATGTATATTTGACTTCAACTGTATTAAATATTCACAATTATATGTTTTAGTCAGTCTTCTGTGTATGGTTTTCTCAGGTCGCAGGCTTTGTATTGGAGAGAGTTTGGCCAGGATGGAGCTGTTTCTGTTCTTCACTTCTCTTCTTCAGCATTTCTGCTTTACTCCTCCTCCGGGAGTGTCTGAAGATGAGCTGGATCTCACACCAGTTGTGGGCTTTACACTGAACCCCATCCCGCATAAGCTGTGTGCAGTGAAACGCTCTTAAAGAGCCCCTATTATGCATTATAAAATATCATATTTTGGTTTTGAGAGTCTCCAACAACAGGTTGATACGCATGCAAGGTCAAAAAACCACTTCGTAGTCCTATAATATGCATTTATTTTTACCTAATTACCTCAATGACTCCCATCTGGTTTGTTCAGTGATTCGTTTGTTCCCAAACCCCTCCTGTGCGTGATGCTAACTTGCGGTAATTAAGCCGATGACTCAGTCTCTTGGGATTGGCCGACTGCATTCAGCACGATACGGAAAGAATTGCCTACTACAGTAATGAAGTAGCCAGTGTACAAACTATATGTGTGAGCCCAATGCAAGAATGCATTAAAGCAGTGTTTCTCAGCCACATTTCTGGAGGACCACCTGCTCTGCACATTATCCATGTCTCATTAACCAAACACACCTGATTTAGATCATCAGCTCATTAGCAGAGACTGAAAGACCCATAATGGGTGTGACAGACAATGAGACATCTAAAAACATGCAGTGATGTTGGTCCTCCAGGAACATGCTTGAGAAACACTGCACTACAATACATCATGCTATTCACCCATAAATACTTTATAAACATTTTGACTTTACTGACTTCATTCACGCATGAATTTCACTTCACAATAGATGTTGATTCGCCTTATGGCTTCTGGCTGTCCTGTGAATCTAGTTTTGTTGCTAAATAGCTAACATGGATTATATTGAGAGAGGAGTTGTACTATGTAAACTCCTTTTAATGTAATGGAAAATATGTCAAGGCATCTCTGGTGCAGCTTCCAATCATAGTCAGTGTAGTTCAAAGTATGGGCCCATCCTCAGGGCTGGAGCAAGCTGAAATGGTGCTCCAGGCAAACCACGATCACGCTGCCCTCAACCCGAAAGTGAAAACTGAAGACGGGGTGGAAAACCGGGTTGTCACGGATGAAAGTGAGGACCAGAGGAAGGGGCGATGGTGTCAGGGATAAAAGTGAGAACCTGGTGGGTGGATAGTGTTGGGGCTTGGGTATCGCAAACGAAAGTGAGGACCTGAGAGGATATTGCGGACGCCGCCCTCACTATTCTGCCCAGGTCACCTATATGGACACGCCGGTCCTGCCCATATCATAAGTGGCTGCAGAAGTTTAAATCAACATTAACAGAGCAGGGTCACGTGACTCCACGTTATAGTGAAAGTAATAAAAATTCCAATTAGTCGATTATAGGTTCTGAATGTCGATTTCGATTACTTTTTTGTTTAATCGCCCAGCCCTATGTTATTGTTTTAATCATCAGAAAAATGACAGGAACAAACTCAGCACAAGGTATAATGTGGTCTTGTTGTGAAACAATTAGAAGGAAACATAAAATTGCTGTTGTCGATTGCAAACCACACATGAAACAATTCATTTTACTTGATCTCATCAGTATTGCAGGCCTATATATATATATATATATATATATATATATATATATATATATATATATATATATATATGTGTGTGTGTGTGTGTGTGTATATATATATATATATATATATATATATATATATATATATATTAGCGCTGTCAAAATTAGTGCGTTAACGCATGCGATTAATTTTAAATAATTAATGCGTTAAAAATAATTAACGCAATTAACGCAGTTGCAGTTGTTTTTTTTACTTCCTGTTGTGGTGGACGTGTGTTTAACATGCAAAAAAATGTGGATAAGACCAAGGAAGCACTTTTTGAAGGCAAATTTCAGTATAAAACAATTAGTTGCATCACAGGTTATCCAGAGTTTCATGCAATTTCGGGTGTTTCATTTTTAACTTTCTGTTGTAAGTTGATACCACATGGTGAACAGAAAGAAAATCCTCCGCATTTCGTGACTCGATGTTCCTTTAAGGTAATAAAATCACTGCTTAGGTTACACGGTAGAATTTTAATAAGAGTATAATCTTAATCATATTAAAATCAGAGTATTAATGTCTTATGTGAATGTACTCAGAAAGTCTCTGGTGAAGTCGCGAGCTGTCAAAGACAGGGCATTACTCTGCCTTTCAGAATGCACCCTCCAAGTTTAGCGTGTTTCCTTATTAAACGCAACGAAAGCGTATGCTTCGCGTTGTTGTGTCAGAATCCTTGTGAAATACAGTAATACTTTAGATGCTTAGTTTAAGCCAATTTGATGAACTCGATCATGCGTGTTGAATCTGAAGGGAGTCGCTCCAGCGCGTTGTGTGTGTGTCTGTGTGTGTGTCTGTGTAAGGCCCGTTGAGGGGTGTCAGGGGTGGAGTGAACGACGTATCTTGAGTAGGGGCATGTGCGCGCGAGACGTACCTGAAGGACGGTGAGGGTGAGTTGCACGCGACATAGGCTACCTGAAGAGCTAGGAGGGATGTGGTGGAGAGGGGTGTGCAATGTATTTAACGACCGGTTTGCAAGAAATTATCATTCATTTGCGGGCATTTGGGAGTCTCTGTGCACTTGCGGGATACTCTTAGTCTTAGCAACTGGATGAATGTAAAGGAGGATTAAGCTAAATTGTTTCTACTCTATAATTAATGTTCTCAACTCACAGCAATAAAACTTTACAATGAGTGCAACAGTTTGTATTCTATAGTTTATTATTATAATTTTTCATTTTACATATCTGCAATTTCTGTATTTTGGCATTTTTTTTGCAGTCTACTTAGAATCCAGCATGGAAATCAGTGTTTTCTTTATTGGCATTAACTGTTTTGAAATTTAAATGTCATTAACATGCCTGTGTTTTAATTTCTGTAATAAATATGGCTGTCAAGCCAGGATCTTGATGGTTTATTGTGGGTATGTTGTTTACATGAAGAAATCTGTGTTACAAGTTAAACAAAAATTCTATTAAATAATTGTATTTTGAATTTAAATAGTTTTTGTCTTGCGTCTACATTAATTTTACATTTGAATAGCCAAAATTGCAAGTTTCAGTATTTAAAATGCGATTAATCGTGATAAATTTTTTTAAAAAGGTGCATTAATTAGTAAATTTTTTTAATCGATTGACAGCACTAATATATATATATATATATATATATATATATATATATATATATATATATATATATATATATATATATATATATATATATATATAGTCAGAATTATTAGCCCCCTTTTTATTTTTTTTCTCAATTTCTGTTTAACGGAGAGCAGATATTTTCAACACATTTCTAAACATAATAGTTTTAATTACTCATTTCTAATAACTAATTTATTTTATCTTTGCCTTGACGACAGTACAAAATATTTGACTAAATATTTTTCAAGACACTTCTATACAGCTTAAGTGACATTTAAAGGCTTAATTAGGTTAACTAGGCAGGTTACGGTAATTAGGCAAGTTATCGTATACCGATGGTTTGTTCTGTAGACTGTCGAGAAAAATATAGCTTAAAGAGGCTAATAATTCTGCCCTCAAAAAAAATTTAAAAAACTGCTTTTTTTCTAGCCAGAATAAAACAAATAAGACTTTCTCAAAAAGAAAAAAAAATATTATCAGACATACTGTGAAAATTTCCTTGCTCTGCTAAACATCTTTTGGGAAATATTTAAAAAGAAAATAAAAATCCAATAGGGGCAAATAATTCTGACTTCAACTGTATATATCTTCTGTAAGGCAAGGGTTCACTGTGTTATATGTAATATATATATATATATATATATATATATATATATATATGTGTGTGTGTGTGTGTGTGTGTGTATGTATGTATGTAATATATATATATTTATCAATTTAATAAGTTAATAGATGCATATTTCAGAGAGGGTGCATTTTATGGCTGGGGTAACAGCCTTTTATGTAGGCTACAGGTGTCAGCATGCAGTGAGTTTTAGAGGGGCCTGGATGCAGACCTGGTGCAGTGCAATCTGAGCTGCATCCAATGCTTTTTTACCCCTTGGTAGTGGAAAAGCAAGCCTGATAAAGGTGACCCGTACCGACACGAACCGTACCGTACTGTACCTATCAGTGGAAATGAACCATTAGCATATCACTTCATTATTTACATTGTTTTCCAGTAACATTTAGAATTGATTTTTAAATTGTACTCATTCAAAATAGAAAAATAATTGGATAAAAACAATAATACTTTTATTACTAATATTTTTTAAAAAGCATTTAATAAAATAATATATTGTTTTTAAAGATTTATAACAGGGGCGTGGCTTGTGTGGGCTTGGCTTGTGGGCATAGGGGCGGGGCATAAATTCTCACCCCTAGCTAAAGCCAAAAGTTGCCAGCCCTGCCTATACAAAACGTTGTATATTGTGAATATGTACTTTTCAGAGTCTGTAAAAATAATGATTTTGTTTTCTTTTTTCCGCCACTTTGCCCTAGGAAAAGAAGCTTGCTAATAATTATGTACATCTTGATATAAGAATGTTGATCTCCCTTGGGCACACCTTTGATCACAACACAAACACACATCACCTGATATAAAGATTTAACAGCTTGGGGTTATCATAAAAATGATGAGATGGTCAAAATACTGAGTCATTTGGCAGGCAGTGTAAAAACCAGTTCACTATTAGGATCGAGTTGTTCTTTTAAATCACAGGTTGTTCTTTTAAAGCCGCCATAACACACAATGGACATGGATCAGCTCTTGTTTAACTATTTTGCAACTCCCATAGAAATCCAGATCAGTGTTTAATGTGAGTTCTGCTCATTTTGGAATATGGGAATGGCTCTGTACGTTAAAGGTTTTCTTTAGCACCAAACACCATCCCTATTAAACTTTAATGGCCCTCAGCAATAGAATAATATTAATTTAATTAATTAAAAGTAAAATCAATGTTTAGCACTGAACACATTTTACATGACACTGTGCTTATTTTCAGCGTGTTACAGTAAAAAAGAAAAAAAAAACTGTTGAAATAAAAAAGTGAGAAGCCCACTATTTCACTTGTATTACTTAGGGGCAATGTGCACCACTGACAGGTCACATCTGCTCTCTCTCTCTCTCTCTCTCTCTCTCTGCTGTAGTCTTGTTACAGACAAGAGATTGAGATGTACTGTGGCCAATGTTTCCATATAAAAGTTATGCAAAAATGCAAATAAATAACAGCAGCTATTAAAAAAAAAAGAAAAAAAAAGCCGAATTCTGGATATTTTAGAAACCCTGGATGGATGCATTTTTTAAGTCCCAAACAGAGGACATACAGTTGAACTATTATCCCCCTGTTTATTATTTTTCCCCCCAATTTCTGTTTTTTTTTTTCTCAACACATTTCTAAACATAATAGTTTTAATAACTCATTTATAATAACTGATTTATTTTATCTTTGCCATGACGACAGTAAATAATATTTGACAAAATATTCTTTAAGACACTTTTATACAGCTTAAAGTGAAATTTAAACGCTGAACTAGGTTAATTAGGTTAACTAGGCAGGTTAGGGTAATTAGGCAAGTTATTGTATAATAATGGTTTGTTCTGTAGACTATCGAAAAAATATATATATATAACTTAAAGGTGGCTAATTATTTTTTGTAAACTGCTTTTATTCTAGCCTAAATAAAACAAATAAGACTTTCTCCAGAAGAAAAAATAGTATCAGACGTACAGTGAAAATTTCCTTGCTCTGTTAAACATCATTTGGGAAATATTAAAAAAATAAATAAAAAGAAATTCAAAGGGGGAGTGGGGGGGGCTGGGGGAGTAATTCTGACTTCAACTGTTTGTGGGAAAAAGAGTATGTATTGTCAATCTAAATAATGAGCTGGGTCAGTCTATTTAGTAAAAAGCTTTTCTTTTCTGGCTCATCTTTGCGCTTTTCTCAAAGCTACTACCAAAGTCAGAATATTTACAGTTTCCCATCTCTGTGGGTCTGCAGAGCATGACTTGCATGCCAGGTTTCCCAGCAGTCATTTTGGCCATTAGGTAATTCCAGTAACACTCCTTAAAAAATTGAAATAAACTGTTCAGTTGCATATATTTAACGTTTTGTAAAATGAATTCAATATGGTAAAAACAAGATATCAAATTTAAGTTTGAAGAAAAAAAACAACAATTCTTTTACAGTTTTTATTCAATAAAAGAATCACCCCTTTATCTATGTTATAAAAGCAAAAAGTGATTTAAAAAAAAATAAAATATTATAATTTTTATAGGGGTTTTCACCTTTGTTAGATGGGACAGTAGAGAGTATTGACAGGAAAGCATGGGGAGCAGAGATATTGACAGGAAAGCATAGGGAGCAGAGAGAGGGGAAGGATCGGCATAGGACGTGAGGTGGGAATCGAACTCGGGTCGCCGTGAGCACTGGAGTGCATGTGTCGACGCCAGGGGCGGACTGGCCATCTGGCAATTCTGGCAAATGCCAGAAGGGCCGGACCAATTTTTAAGTGTGGGCCGGTCAGTTTTTTTTTTCTTGTTTTTTTTTTTAAATATGTATTGTTTTTACGTGCAGGCAGCTTTTATCTCTTGCTAGATGTGATATGATGTTGATAAAATAAATAAATAAATAAATAAATAAAATAATAATAATATTTATAATAAATGTTAAGCATTTGGCCCAATCAGCGACAGCCGCCTGATTTCAAGATTGGCCGACCCAATCCGAGGTCACCCGGACATTATCAAAATCTGGCAAGAATGTCATATTATTTTACAATCTGTACACCAAAATAAATACTGAATGTTCGTGTCCGTGGGTGGGGCTGTGTCGGTGTGGTAATGTGGGCTGATGTGGCTACAGTGCCAGGGCTGAATTTTTGTCCCAGTCCGCCCCAGGTCGACGCACTAACCACTACACCACCGGCGCTGACAAAAACTCAAATATTTAAGTGTAAATTCCACTGGATAAATGTTCAGCCTACTCTTTTAGTCAGAACTAAGCACCTTAATAACTGCAGAACAACTTAATAAGTGTCAAATAAAATATGTAAACTAGCCTTAAAAGTTTGAAAGTTGTTTTTACTGACCTCTTTTGTTCTATATCTCTTTACATTTTTGACTCTGAATCAACAGGTGAAAAATCCACACCCTTGATGAAGAGGAACTTTTCCGGAAATACCTCAAGCCAAACAACATAATAATCTCAAATCGTTTTACACATGTAAACAAAGTGAAATCAAACCCCAAAGCTTTACAATTTAAATGATGTCTTTCAGTCCTGTTTACAAACTTTCATAAATTCATCACAGTCAAACATACTTTAATGTGCACATTCACATCTGTAGTGTGTCAGAACGATCTCTCATGGTCCTCAAAATGCAAGAAAAGTCACTTACATCCATCCCATGAAAACGAATATATTATGAAAGTCCCAAGAGGTTACAGCTGTTCCACGCGATGAGTTCAGGCAATCCTCGCCCAGCGGTGAAACAGATGTGTCCAGGTCAGAACTACTTCATCACAAACTCCACCAGTGCAGTCACTGTTTGAATTACTCATGATTCATTGTGATTCCCAACGACGGCAAAAAAGAAAACTCAACAGAGAGAGAAAATACTTGAACAGCTAAAGCAAATGAAACATTTGGGATTCACATTTACTTTGCCTTTGAGGCTTAATATTACAAACAACCATCACCAAAACTGAGAAAAACACTATCATGCACTGCAGACGCTTCTCTTTTTAAATGATGCTCCTCTCTCTCTTTCTCTCTCTCTCTCCCCCCCCCCCCTCTCCCTTCTCTCGTGTAGCTCATGTAACCTTAAAGAAACAGTTGCAAACCAGCAAAACACTTTGTCAACAGCATTTTACAAGTAATGCAGTATTCAATATTTACATGCAGTTAGAAAAAAAACACACATTACAATCTCCTACATAAGTGCAACTCGAGGATATTTAGGGGGTCCCTACATCAAAATACTTTTACTTACAAATAGACTAGGCATGGGCCGGTATAAAGGCTCGTACACAATGGGACGCTTTTCGTTTGCGTTTATCGTCAGCGTTTTTCCAGACGTTTTTCCGGATTCAAACCCAATCGATTTTCACTGGCGTCAAGCAGAAGAGTATGCTAAATCATTCCTTGATGTTAGATGGCGCTACACAAGCTTCCGACACCCCGCTTGTAACACAGAAGAAGAGGAAGTTCACACGCTTGTTGTTAAAAGTTACCGGTGACTTTAACAAGCATAGATGGTTCATGCAGCAGCTCCAGCTCTAGCGATGAAGAGATGATGATTGTTGACCAGTGCAATAAGCAGCTCCATGTTCATATCCCCTCTGGGTATCTTTTGCAATGTGCGCTCGCATTGACAGGTTTGCGTTTGAGCGCCTCCAAGTGCTGTTTACTGTAACTTCAGCAGCTCCCTGCACGTGAACAAAAGTACCAATCTGATTGGTGGAGAAAAAAACGAGCTTGGGGCATTTTTTTTTAAATAACGCTTTTGCGCCTGTCGTTTTAGTGTGCACGATCACATTGACGCCCTTTATTTAGTCACGAGGGGTTAAACGACGACGTAAATGCGAGTAAAATGCGTCTAGGTGTGCACGGGCGTTTAGATTCTGACGATATAACAACCTTGGATATAAATGTCACGGTTTCACAGTATCACTGTTTTTAGATTACAGCTCTAAAATATATTCTTTTAAAATGTCTGGGTAAAAAAACAAAACCTGCTTTCCCCGTTGAACAAAATGTATTTTTTGGCAAACATTTCAAATATTTTGGAGCAGTAAACATGTCAAGCTATTTAGTTAAAATGAATAATTGACTTCTGTTGTCTGCATTTATTTCAAAAACACTGTTTTTTTATTAGTTTTTTTTGTTTGTTTGTTTGTTTTTTTGTTTTTATAATTTAATATGGCATTTTTTGGATATCTTTTCTGCTGGAGACACTGTTGTCCTGAAAACAAAAAATGTAAATAAAAAAATCTTACTCATACCTTAGGAACGGTATAGCAGAAAATTTTGACTTTTAAAACCTTGACTTTTTCAAACCGCTGTATTCCTTGAACACGGTTATCGTCCCATATCTATAATAGACAGCTCGGTGAGTGTTAGATAATTAGCACTAAGAATTTTAATTTGTCTGAGGGATTTATCAAACTAGCAAAGACCAAACTTTACTTCTGATGCACCTAGGTGCTTTCACACTTGGTTCAATTGCCTGGACCGAACTCAAGTTCTATTGTCGCCCCTTGCCACCTTCTCAGCTGGTTTGTGTTCACTTTCTGAACTCCGATACTCTTCCATCATCAAGCTGCTTTTGCGTACAGCTGTTGCCAGGTGACGGCCATGAAAGCGAAGCACCAAAATTGAGAGATCCACACAACATGGTCATTCTGCTTTTACTGAATCTTTTGGTTTTGTTACCAAAATCAAAATACAGAGAGCCACTTGCGTCTATCCGCCGAAAAAATCAAAAACAAAAAAAAACATTACAAATGTTCAGAACACCATGCAATGTCTGCAGGAGACATTTTTTTTCCAAGGAGCTCATTGTATACTTTAGGATAGGATGAACAGGCTCACAAGATCCCATCCACATTAATGGAATGGCCGTTGAGCCTGTCTCATCCTTCAAGTTCCTGGGGACCCACATCTCAAAGGACCTTTCCTGGACCCCAACACCTCCAGCCTGGTCAAGAAGGCTCACCAGCGCCTATTTTTCTTAAGGCAACTTAAGAAGAACCAGCTTTCATCAGCCATCTTGGTGTACTTCTACCGCTGCACAATGGAGAACATCCTGACCAACTGCGTCACAGTCTGGTATGGAAGCTGCTCTGTTGCTGGGTGTAAGGCACTGGGGAAAACTGCCCAATGTATCACAGGGACCACACTGCCAGCCATAGAGGACATCCAGAAGAAACACTGTCTGCGCCGAGTACGCAGTATTCTTAAGGATCTCTCTCACCCTGCTCACAGACTCTTTTCTCTCCTGCCTACTGGCAGGCGCTTCAGGCTCCCCCAGACAAAAACTAGCAGACTGAGGAACAGCTTTTTCCCCAGAGCTGTCTCCCTTTTGAACAATCAAGCCAATGAGAAGTGAGTTTTTCTTTAGTTGAGCCTTTTTGGGCATTTTATTGTTTGTATTTTTAATTTTTTTTGTTAATATCAGTCTATTTTTGTTACTTTATATATATATATATATATATATATATATATATATATATATATATATATATATATATATATATATTTTTTTTTTTTTTTTTTTAATGGTTATATTCTTTTGTAATGCTGTTTGGGTTGCTTTTGTTATGTTTAATAAGATGCAGCCAACACTTTGATGGCTCAATGTATGTAAACGTACACCTTTATTGATGCTGCTTCCTGCATTCGTACTGTAGCCAGAGATAATGAGCACCAAGTGTTTATTTACATCCTTTTAAACTTTTAGCTTGTTTCTGTAATATTGTGGAGTTCTTTTTCTTTTTGTTGTTGTGTTAGAGCTGACTGTTGGCCTGTCTAGCTGCTTTAAGGACACTTGTTTTATTGGGGGTGAATGACGCCTTTTTAGCAGTGTGTGTGCGTGTCTTCATTTTTTTTATTATCATTTTTGCTGTTTTCGTTCTCTTGCTAATTTGGAGTCGTCCACATTGGGTGATTTGAGGTAGTGCTGTGATTTTTGTTGTGTCAATTTTTACGAATGTTGCAGTGCTATGAATAGGTTCCAATGGGGACTCTGGCTCTGAGAAAGGGGAGGGGGGGCAGCATTTGTGTCCAAGAAGTAATTTAGTTGTGGTGTCCGTTTATTGTGTTGCATAAATAAAGTTACCTTGCACTGAATCCTGGCCTCTGTCTCACTGACGCTAAGAGGCCTTTGCTGAAGTTTTAGGTCTCTGGTGCCTTTATACCAGGATGGCGTAGTCACCTTTTTCTTTTCTTTTTAATTTTTTCTTGTAAAATTGCATAAGTAATATCATTCTAATTCACCACCACCCGGCCACACCAACTTTTGTCAACTAGTGAAGTTTGTTTCTCACCACTGTCGCAAATGGCTTGCTTTGTTTGAGACTTGTGGAGCTACGCATTGATGGATTTGCTGTGTTTGGACTTTCAGCACTGAAAGATAAACCACACTGAACTGAACTTCAACTCTGAAAACTGGACTGACACAGTTTTAATTTACTATAATCTTCTATGTGAAGCTGCTTTGACATAATCTACATTGTAAAAGCTCTGTAGAGATAAAGATTAAAGGTGCAATAGGTGATCTTCCACAATGCTAACAGCTTAGCATAAATCTCTGAATCACAGGCTGCGTCCGAAACCGCATACTTCCATACTATATAGTACGCCAAAATCAGTATGCGAGCCGAGTAGTATGTCCGAATACATAGAATTCGAAAATCAGTATGCGAAAAGTACCCGGATGACTTACTACTTCCGGCGAAATTATGGAGTGCGCATCTCATGCACGCTGCGCTATCCCATGATGCCCCGTGAGCGAATTCATGAATGGGAGTGAAGCGACGCAAATTACGCAGGTAGGTTGCGTGACCATGACAAAATGGCGGATGTAGTACGTCCGAATTCCATTCATACTTTCACATTCATACTGTATAGAACGTACTTTTTTAACGAGTAGTACGTTTAAATTCAAATACAGTACCTACTAAGTAGTAGGCGGTTTCGGACGCAGCCACAGTCCCTCCCCTGTCCAGAGCCACGCCTCCTAAACCCTCTCTCATGTGTAAAAAGCGACTAGTGCTTGTCCGGCAGCGTGCAAGCCAAACTGACATTCTATTTCAGAGCCAATATTTAGAGTTGCATGGTAAATAATATAGGGAGAGACTAGGCGGAATAGCACTATTTGCTTGTGTTTTGTTGTTAAACTAATTAAAATCTAATAAAAAACTAATAAAAAGGTCCCTTATGAAACTTATAATGTCTTATCAATCTTTCACCGGAAGATTTTATTGTCTGAACAACACTTCTGTGAAGATGTAACCCATTTGTAACAACAACATCTAACGTTACATCAGCTTTGCGTGAAGCTAAGACAGTTTTAAAACAGAACATTACCTGTCTAAGAGAAATCCTGCAGACATGGTGTCATCCTTTCTCCAGCGTGCAAAGGTAACTCCAATATTGATTCAGGTTTTTAAAAAGTTTTGATTCAGCAGGTTTTTACAGATCGCTAGCGCTCTCTCGTGAACGCATGGCAGTCGGTGGAGATGCGTACAAACGGCTGCGCAGTTGTTCAAATCTGCTTTTGCTGACAGATCGGGCTACTTATCGGAATTAAGAGAGATGTCGGTCCGACTCTATTTAATTGGATGAACATTTTTTTTATGCCTTACCCAAAATATAAAAATACATATAAATACATTTAGATAATTTACTTTAATCATTACTATTAGACTTTGAAGAAACTTTCAACCAGCACAACAAAAAATGCTTCTGAAGACAATCACCGACTGCACCTTTAATTAAATCCACGCCAAAGAATCTTTCATCCAGAAGGTTAGTCCTGTTGTTTAGACACTCAGTGTCAATGTTTAATTAACCTGGTTTCATCATCAGGCACAAATCAATATATCTCTGGCACAAAATTCAAATGTTAAAACTAGGCTAACTTGCGTTCACAGAAATATAGGAGCAAAAGTAGCCATTTAAAATATACACTAAATAGTCCTGTTATCCTGACATGCTGTAAAAAAAAAAAAAAAGAAAATTGACATTTTGATGGCTTATGGTTACACATGCGCTCAGGGGCTGACTGCGACAAAAATTCAGCCCTGACCCTGTAGCCACACCAGCCCACATTACCACACCGACACAACCCCAACCATGGACACGCATATTCACTACTCATATCGGTGTACAGATGGTTGAAATAATATACGCAGTAAAATATCATATGCAATCTATATTTCAACACTTAATGTGTAACGGGAATAAAAACAACCCTTTTATAACAAATTTATACATAATAAAAAACAACCTGTGAAGCTTGTAGAGTCCGTGTGCTGTCCCTTTATACCTTCTAATGCCCTCTATAGAAAGTCTGAAATTACTATAGAAATGGACCACTTGTTCAATATTAGGCCAAATTCTAGGGACACTCCTAGCAAAACATTTGTCATGACCTGTCATATTAGATTACATTACAATACATATATATATATATATATATATATATATATATATATATATATATATATATATATATATATATATATATATATATATATTTTTTTTTTTTTTAAAACTGACCAGCCCACATTTAAAAAATGGTCCGGCCCTTCTGGCATTTGCCAGAATTGCCAGATGGCCAGTCCGCCCCTGCATGCGCTGGTATATTGACTTACATGTGAAGCTAGTTACCTGAAGAAAAGGTCAGTGTGAAACATGGGCTACTCATAGACTCCTGGCGCATGCAATAACCTTGGATTATTACAAATAATAGCATTGTAAATTGTATTTGTAAACAGACATGCTGACACACACACACACACACACACACACACACACACACACACACACACACACACACATCAAAAGACTGAAATGACTGACCTGAAATGATTTTAAGGTGAAAATACTGCTGTAATCATTTTGGCCCACAATGTACAGGGATTTAAACCTGGATGAACTTAGATTTCATAAGCTAATGAGTGGAGCTGTACTTGTTAATGATCTAGTCATGTACATCACATCAGTCCTTGAACAAATTGATTGTATCTCTACTTTGGCAATGGCCAGAAATAAATTCAAGTCAAATTAAAGGCAAAACTATAACATTTTCTTTTATACCAAAAAAACATTAGAATATTTTGTAATTGTCCTACCTTAAATATATCAAAATTTATCTTTTGATTGCACAGAACTTAATTTGGACCACTTTAAATGTAATTTTCTTAATATTTTCATAGTTTTTAACCGTAGGATACCAGATTTTGTATAGTGAATGATGCTTTTCAGAGTCAGTTTTTCTTTTTTGACCCACTTTACCCTAGGAAAAGAAGCTGGCTAATAATTACGCACATTCTCATATAAGGATGTTGATCTCCTTTGGCCACATACCTTCATCACAACACACACACACACACACATCACCTGATATATTTAAATCCAATAAGCATTCAAGTTTATAGAGCTTAGGGTTATTATGAGATGGTCAAAATACTGAGTTATTTTGGCAGGCAGTGTAAAAACCAGTACACTATTAGGATCGAGTTGTTCTTGTAAATCACAGGTTGTTCTTTTAAAGCCGCCATAACACATTAATATACATGGCTCTGTTCTTGTTTAACTATGTTGCAACTCCCATAAAGATCCAGATCCGTGTTTAATGTGAGTTCTGCTGAGTCTTTCGGACACTAAACAGGACTGCAAAGCAAGTGTTTGTGATCAGTGCTAAAAAATCTCACAGATTGTGGACTTAAGAATATTATTTTAGCAAATAAGTCCTACTGTAAATTGAAACACAATTTGTTTTTTGTATTTGGTTTAAAGGGGAAGATGGCGTAAATATATATAAACAAAATTCTTCTGGATTCATGTTAAGCATGAAGTTCAATGTGTTTTAAATGCATTTTATTTAAGCTGCTGTAAAAAGATTATTGATTATATCTGATAAAAAGTAATAAGAACTAAACAAGACTAGATTATAAAGCTGTTAGTGATAGAAAATTAATTTAGATTTGTAAAACAAACTCACATATGTATGGATGTAAATTAATAAAAGTTAGGATTGGCCAAATGTTTTGTTACTGACTGATAAATTTAATTACAATGTGACTACCTATTAATTGTTCTTCATTTAGAATTGATTTCAAGATATGTTTTATTCATTTTTTTCTGTATTATTTTTGTATTGTTTTATGGACAGAAGTTGCACCGTTTTCTCCTCTTCTCCCTCCTACTTCTTCCAGAGTATATAAAAGCAAGCCAGCAGCTCACATCAGACCTAAATCAGGGATTGATCTGCGCACGTTTATGATAGATCTCTGAACATGGCGCTAGTTGGAGCATTATTACCTGGACTGAGCTTTACTGTAGGTATGGTAGTTGCTTTCCTGCTGCTGTTTTTAGTTATTTCTTACTTCTCCAGCTCTAAAGATCAGGGAAAATATCCTCCAGGACCCAAACCCCTGCCATTGCTGGGCAACCTGCACATTCTGGACCTGAAGAACACCTACATGAGCCTCTGGAAGGTGAGAGAAAATGTCACTTTATCCTTATTTTGATGATTAAAGCCTCTCTGTTCCTACTTTACCAGTAACAACATTACATTTGACCTAGACTAGAGACAGATAGATAGATAGATAGATAGATAGATAGATAGATAGATAGATAGATAGATAGATAGATAGATAGATAGATAGATATTCTCAACACATTTAGACTGTACTATATTCTCTATATTAAATATTCACTCTATATGTGCCATGTAGTCATTTGCCAACAATGTGAAAGTATCAATTGGTAATGTGTGACTGAGATGGGCATCATGCCAGTGGACAAATGCGTCATCTTATGTGATAAGCTAGAGGATGTGTAGAAAGATGGCTAACTTTATATTTTGGTTGCAATTTACAATAGACAGATAGATCAGGGGGTGGCTGGATGGAGATATTGATTGATGAACAGATCGACGGATAGATATAAATTGATAGACAGATATCGATATGAAGTTATATCAAGCTATTCTCAAAATTAACCTTTAGACTGTACAGTATAATATATATTGAATGTGGCACTTTAGTTGCTTATTGCCTAATGCTATATATGCCAAGTAGTCATTTGCCAACAATGTGCAGAGTGTCTGACAGTTATAGATTTACTAGCTCTTACCCTCACTATGGTAAAAGTATAATTTGGTAATGCATGACTGAGATGGGCATCAAGCCTTGTTTGATAAGCCAGAGGATGTATGTGAAGATACAATCAGGCATGTGATCAGACATCTGATGAGAACAATTCATATGAGCTCATGCAATTTCATTAGTAGGAAACCGATTTTTAGGAGGCGTGCCCTAAAACTCCACACCTAACCCTCATTGGGCGTGTTTGTCACAGTTTGTTTGGGGAAATAGTGAGTGAAAGAAGTGGTGCGGATCCAAATGCAGTCAATTGAGTTTGAATCCAGATAAATGGACCAGACGATAAAGGGACAAACATTCCAAATAAAAACAAGTTAACATAAAACCAAAACAAGGTGCTAAAAGCCAACACTGAGGTAACACAAAACTACTGATTGGGTGGCAATAGTGGTGAGGATCCAAATGCAGATTTTTTGCAAGTAGTCAGGCAGGCAAGGTTAGCACATGAGTAAATGTGTAATAATATATATGAGTAAATATGTAAAAATAAGGGAAATCCTAAACGAGTAATCAAAGTCACAGGTGAATAGGTCAAGGCAGGAAGTAAAACAAACAAAAACAATGAAACAAGCAACAGTCAAAATAATGACTCTGGATGGATGCGTGTGTGTGAGAGTTGCGTGTGTATTAAGTCCAAGTAATTAATCCTGTTCAGCTTCAGCTGAGTGTGTTTGTGTGTAATCAAGAGGTGAACTGAAACAGGTGTGTGACTAAAGGGCATGATGGGATTTGTAGTTTAGTAGAATGACAAGACGTGTTCACCAGCAGTCCGCAAGGACAACACTGCTGGGGATCATGAAAGACAACATGAGGCTGAGACATAAGGGCAAATAATGTCTGGGAGACAATGGGGTAAGAAGTAAATGAGGTGATAAGCGGGTGGAGACTGTAAACATCCAAGGCAGCAAGTGAGGGAATTGAGGAAACTTCAAGAGTGATCTAGACGCAGGCTTACACAGTGCATTTTCTCACTGTTGTATGAGCTTCTACATGAGTTTTCTTCTTGTCTTCTTCTCAGTCGCATTGTAAATATTTGATGCTCACATGGTCAAATCTGTGTTAGAGAAAGTTATGAATTGAGTCAAGCGGTTTATGAGTTCCAGATGATTTTCAGACAAGTCAAAAAAAAAATATTGCGAGCTGTCGGCTTAAATTTGTGAGGTGTATACGGTTGAACAAGCCAATCTGTGGGATCTATCTAAGAATGACCAATCAGAAGGACACACTGGTTAAGTGAGCGTGATATGACGCGTCATGCATGACAGATTTGACTGAGATGGTAGTTTACATTGGACAAGTTCAAAATGTTGCCCTTGCAGACCTCTGGAGAACATTTCCTATCATTCTACTAAACTACATCTTCCATCATGCCCTTTAGTCACACACCTGTTTCAGTTCACCTCTTGATTACAAACGAACACACAAAAATGGGATGACAAGGGATGCATTTACCAAACAACGATGTATCCGTTTTGTTCTTTAATCATTCAAAGTCAATGTTGGAATGTTCAAAAGAAATAGGGCAAAGTGGGGATAACTTGGAATAGAACACAACTATGAACTATGCTTGTAACTATGGCTCTAAATGAAAAGTTACAAACATACATGTTTGCGACGCAGTTTGCAAATGTTCGTTGGAACAACATTTTTGGGAAACACCAAATCAATGATCTATGTTTGTACCGACAGCACTTGTGACTGTACTTGGCTAACAATGGTTTTCGAAAATGCACCTCTGGTGGAATGATTTCCCTGAGCTGAAAAAGAACCAGTAGCTCATGGTTGGTGTACATCGACGGCTTGTATCAATATCTGTTATGAGAGAGTGAGGGCATAATGTTTTTGTTTCTCTTCATGTTTTTGGTGTGGAATTTCACGCAATTGCTTCAGAAATCACAGGGTCATAAAATCATGTCATATATCACAGCGTCCGAATCATTTTAACATCAACTTTCTCATGACACATGCGTGGACATACCTTAAGGTGATGTTTGTAGCATATGAAACAAAGAACTAAACAGAAAACACACACACACATGACAGCGATGATACAGTACTAAACTAATCCGAATGAGATCATACAAATGAATACGAATTAGCTGGTTACTCACTGAAGCTAAAAGGGCTGAGCCTGCTCAATACCTGGATTGGAGACCACATCGGACAACTAGCTTATTAATGAGGGGGAACTTAACCTGCGTTCTATGTGGGTCCTTATGCCCCAGTAAAGTGAAGGGTACACTATGCTGTCAGTGAGCAGTGAGACGTTAAACAGAGGTCCTGACTCTCTGGTCATTAAAAATCCCATGGCACTTCTCGTAAAGATCAGGGGTGTAACCCCTGGCCAAATTCCCTCTATCGGCCCTTACCATCATGGCTTCCCAATCATCCCCATCCACTGTCTCTTCACTCCACCTATAGCAATGGATCCAAGAGGATGCTGCACACTGAAGGTCTGGAGAGACCCCCTCATGATTGTGTAAGCACGGGTGTATGGCCATACACAATAAATCCACTATATAAATACACATTGCATTACACTAAATTAAATACTTACATATTTTCGTGACATTGTTTTGGCACAATCATGACTTCAAATGATGAGCTGAATGAAGCAGATTCTCATTCTCATGTAAGGTGAACACTTATGGCGCCAACAATCAGATTGTCTGGTTTAATGACAACTATGATCCTCAATAAGCCCTCCAGAACTTTGAATTTTAGGTAATTTATAGGGGACGCAACCAGGCCTGTGCAGAGACCTTCAAAGAGACCTTCAAATGATACATTTTTTTGAAGAGAGAGGGGGGGGGGGTGTTGTCTGGCTCGAACTGAAGAGCGGGGGGTAGGGGGGTTGTTGATATGTCGCGGGAAAACTGAAGACCAGTGTGGGGGGGGGGTTTAGTGTTCAGATCACTTTGGAAGGGCACTTTCTATTTAAGACTAAAAAGGGCATGTGCACTGCACAGGTTGAGCCCTATGTGTGCACGTGGCTGGACGCAACATTAAGGTAGGAAAATACAGAAATCCGGATTTCTGGCGAAACATCCCTTACATTACATCCTATAACAATTCATGGCTTTCATCTTTTTTATCTTACAGCTGTCAAAACAATATGGGCCAGTTTACACAGTGCATATGGGCCCTAGGACAGTGGTAGTCCTGTCAGGATACAAGGCGGTCAAGGAGGCACTGGTGAACCTTTCAGAGGAGTTTGGAGAAAGAGATATCTCACCCATATTCCAGGATTTCAATGAGGGTTATGGTAAGAGGACTTTCTCATCTTCATCCACATTTTTATTATAGTTAGAAACAAGAAGTCCACTTTTAATCGTTCCCCTGCAGGGATAGTTTTTTCCAATGGTGAGAACTGGAAGGAAATGAGACGCTTTGCGCTGTCAAACCTACGAGACTTTGGAATGGGCAAAAAGAGAAGTGAAGAACTGATCACTGAAGAGATCAAATATCTAAAGGAGGAAATTGAGAGGTTTGGAGGTAAGACTGTAAAACTTCAGGACATGATAATGATGTGACTTTAAATGATTTGAGTATTAAAGGGAAACTTCACCCACAAAAAGTCAAATGCTGTAAATAATCACTCACCCTCATGTTGTTTCCAGCTTGGAATACCTTTGTTCATCTTCAAAACACAAATAAAGATGTTTTAGATCAGGGGTGCTCAATCCTGTTCCTGGAGATCTACCCTCTTGCAGATTTCAATTGCTACCCATATCAACCACACCTGAACCAATTAATTAGGAGCTGAACACCACTTGATAATTACAGGCAGGTGTGTTTGATATGGGTAGCAACTGAAATCTGCAGGAAGGTGGATCTCCAGTAACAGGATTCCCTGCTGAAAAATCCAGCTTAAACCAGCCTAGGCTGGTTGGCTGGTTTTAGCTGGTCGACCAGGCTGGTTTTAGAGGGGTTTTGGCCACTTCCAGGCTGGTTTCCAGCCATTTCCAGCCTGGTCTTAGCTGGTCAGGCTGGAAAATGACCAGCCAAATCCAGCTAAAACCAGCTTGACCAGCCTGGTTTAAGCTGGATATAGCTGGTTTTGGCTGGACTCTCAGCTTGGCTAGGCTGGTCTAGCTGGTTTTAGCTGGTCATCTCCCAGCCTGACCAGCTAAGACCAGGCTGGAAATGGCTGGAAACCAGCCTGGAAGTGGCCAAAACCCCTCTAAAACCAGCCTGGTTGACCAGCTAAAACCAGCCAACCAGCTTAGGCTGGTTTAAGCTGGATTTTTTAGCAGGGTTGAGCATCCCTGTTTTAAATGAAGCCTGAGAGTTCTTTATATACAACAAGTGTCTTAAAACACTCAAAGCCCAAAAATGCTAAAAAGATTTCGAGCTTCAGGGCCCGGTTTTTTAAAAGGTTTAATCTGGATAAAATTGATCCGGATTTAGTAATCCTGTTTTTGCGATCGGTGATCACGTAATCCAGCTTACTTTTTGAGCCAGTTTTTCAAAGCAACATTGGATTGGCTTAATCTGATCCGGATAGGAACTTTTCAGGATCACTAAATCTGGATTACCAGTGCTCAATCACAATGTAGATGGATAGATAGGCCTATGTAAAGATCTATAAGTAGAATAGCCAGTGTGAGGTCAATATAACTTTATTTTTATTAGAAATAAAAACACACACATTAAAAAAAATACAAGAAAAAAACCTCACCCCATCCTCTTCCAGCAATCCGCTCATCTGAGACCTACAACACAAACACTGTACATTGAGGATATTTATAATAAGTTTCAAATATAGATGTAAATAAAAAAAAGACTTAATGTCAAAAACTCCACAATAAGTTCAGACTTCCTCATCTGATGTGGAGAGACCAGCTTGCTGAGCAAAGCCTTTAGGAGGCGAATCTCAAGTCTGGCCTTGGTTTGCTGCAGTTTGGTCAGAGTCAGTTGTTCCTCTGCCAGATGAAGCTGTGCTTCTGCTCTTTCAGTATCTTTTTGTAATTGTTGAAGGTGATTTCAAAAATCAGTGATTGCCATTCTTTGCATTTTTTTTTTTTTTTTGGTTATTCTGTAATCATTGCATACATCACTAATAAATATTCTAAAAACAAAAATATTTTCCATTGTGATGAATATATATATATATATATATATATATATATATATATATATATATATATATATATCAATTATTGACAAAATAAAATGTATTGTTTTTGGTCAATTTTGACAGCTGTTTGGGGGATTATTTTATGAGGCCAAGCTATTTCTACTTTGCTGTAGGCCTATACTGAAAGGCTTAATACGTTAAAGTCAATAATCACTATAGCCTGACTGATGAACAAATAAAATTAAAACTTTATGAATAAATAGTATATCTCGTAAGATCCAAAAATAAAATTATTTAATACATTTTTTAAGTTTTCATTAAATTTTGGGCATGAAATCCACACTAAATCCACCCTTCTGGTGAGATCAGTTTAATCCAGGTTTTTTGGATCAAAGTGATCCAAATACTACAAAAAAGGTCTGAAAAACCCAAAGTTAAGGTTTGATCCGGATCAAAACCAAGATTGGATTACGTGGTCTAATCCGATTATGTAATCCGTTTTTCCTTTTGAAAAACCCATTTTCAAGATTTGATCCAATCCCTTATCCAAAATCCTAGTGGATTACTTTTGAAAAACCGGGCCCTGGAGATTTGGATGACTCTCAACATTTGGATGACTCTGAAGGCTGTGGAGATTTGGATGACTCTGCAGATTCAGATGACTGTTGAGGCTGTGGAGTTTCAGGAGGCTCTGGAGTTTTTGAAGACTCTAGACATTCAGATGACAAGGGCTGTTTCTCAATATGCGTTCTTCAGCGGTCTTGTGTCCTCATGTTCTCGTGCAACGTCATCATCAGCTGCCTAAGTTCAGTTCCAATACTCAAGACCGCAAGTACGGAGGACGCATGAATCTTCCCGGATGTGTTCTTGATATCGAGGTCGACTGATGCAGACTTGAGCACCGAACTCCCTCTGGAAGTCCCAGAAGTCATTGCGACTGGAGGTGGGAAGCGCAGCATTTTACTTAGATGTATTATTAAAGTTCAGAGATATCACTTATTTACCTCAGGAGTTTCCGTAAAGGAAACGGTGAAAGTAAATTACCATGAACATCTTAATAAAGGAATAAACACATTAAGGGTGTTTGTTTGCTGAAATTCATATTAAAATAGAAACGCAGCATCCAATTTCTCAAAGGATGCGTTCTCTGCCCTCACGGTCTCCTGAGTTCGTTCTTCCGAGGACACCTGGCAAGACCGCTCTCCACAAGAACACAAGTCCGTTCTCTGCGTTCTTGGAATTGAGAAACAGCCACTGATTGCAGCAGATTGCAGCTCCCCTTCTGCAGTGCATGGACTCTAGCGTGCTCTCAGTACAACGAGGTTGTTGGCTGGAAACTTTGCCAAATCAATCCAGTTTACTTGTTCTGTTTTGAAATTTATTTTAGCATCTTTCTGGGCTTTGAACGTTTCATGAGCTTTGCTGTCTAGGGATAATATATGTTTATCTTTCGAAGATGAAAGAAAGTCTGGAACAACATTTTTTTAACAAGATTGAGTAATTATTGACAAATTTTCCTTTTTTGTGTGAACTATTCTTTAAACATCTTGCTTATCCTTTTCCAGGAAAACCATTTGAAACAAAACTGCCCCTAGCTATGGCCATTTCAAACGTCATCGCTTTGATTGTCTATAGCATCAGATTTGAGTACAACAGCCCCAAGTTTCACCGTGCGATTGTACGAGCAAATGAAAATGCAAAGTTGGTTGGATCACCTTCAGTTCAGGTATACAAACACGCCACCGATAATGAATACATGGATTGTTATTTTTAATTAGGTATGTTATTTTGAGATAATAACCGCAGGATGACAAAGGTTCATGTAGGTATTTTCAATCATTTTGACTGTCAGTGACATCCCAGTCAGTCAGTACATTCACTGTCAGTACATTCACAGCTATAGTATGCTTGTCTGCACTGCTGCTGTTTTAGACAGTTTGGCACCATTTTGTGACTGAATGATATATAGGTTAGTGTACACCCCATAGGGCTCCATAGGGTCAAATATATATATATATATATATATATATATATATATATATATATATATATATATATATATATATATATATATGGCCGGGCCTCTGGACAATGTAAACATTTATTGTTCTCTGATGAGTCCACCTTTACTGTCTTATCCACATCCGGGAGAGTTACGGTGTGGAAAAGCCCCAAAGAAGAGTACCAGTCAGACTGTTGCATGCCCAGTGTGAAGCATGGAAGTGGATCAGTGATGGTTTGGGCTGCAACATTATGGAATTCCCTATGCCCAATACTTGTGCTGGATGGGCACTTCATTTCCTAGGACTACTGAACTTTTCTGGAGATCCATGTTCACCCAATGATTCAAATAATGTATCCTGAAGGGGGTGCCATGCATTCAGATGATAATACATCGATACACACATCAAGATTGGTGACAGAGTGATTTGATGAACATGAAAGTGAAGTTGAACATCTCCCATGGCCTGCACAGTCTCCTGAACTAAATATTACTGAGCGACTTTGGGGTGTTTTGGAGGAACAAGTCAGGAAATGTTTTCCTTCACCAGCATCACGTAGTAACCTGGCCACTATTCTGCAAAAAGAATGGCTCAACTTCCCCTTGGCCATTGTGCAGAACTTGTATGTCATTCCCAACATGAACCCATGCTGTATTGGCTGCAAAATACCATCTACAACATACTAATAAAATATTGTGGTGCAACCCCTGTACATGCCTCAAAGTAAATTTGAAAACCACTAATTTTTTTATTTTTTGTTTAGCTTTTTCCACATTTTCCCAATTGTTGTCTCATATGGGTTTTAGGATTACAAAAATCTTTAAGGATTTTCAAAGTGTGTCTAAAATATTCTATATTGTGGCTGAAATAGCACATTGTGAACAGTAGAATAAGTGTGATTTATTGCTATTTCTCAGAGTTTTTATGCTTGTTTGTAGCTCTACAACATGTTTCCTTGGCTTCGTCTGTTTGTGGCAAATCAAAAGCGTGTTGTGGACAATGTCCAAGAATCCTTTAAACAAATTGGGGAAATAGTGAATGGTTTGAAGAAGACTCTGAACCCGCAATCCCCCAGAGGAATCGCTGACAAATTCCTCATTCAGCAGCAGAAGGACAAGGTACTGTTTAATGTTTAAAATATGCTTGCTTTATTATTATTTTATTTGTTACTTTATTTATTGCATTTTAAAGTTCTCACTTTTTTGGATTTCACCCTGCAGGAATCTGGCAAAACAGACTCATTGTACAATTCAAATAATTTCCTTACTACAATTAACAACCTGTTTGGTGCTGGTATTGACACAACAGTCACAACGCTACGTTGGGGTCTTCTGCTAATTGCCAAATACCCTGAAATACAAGGTACTAGTAAAACATTAACAAAAACAAAAAAGTATATATATATATATATATATATATATATATATATATATATATATATATATATATATATATATATATATATTGAGGCAAGAGAAAGGGAAAACACAGACAATAAACAAAGATGGTATAGTAAATACTGCAATCATTATCGCTGATCATCCACTGGACAATGGGTGTGGAGAGGTTTGCATGGGGGAAACAGTTCACTGGCATTTTCTTTCTACTCCTGTGCTTATAATTTCTCTTTGGAATTGGATTCAGCTGATGGTGACTGGAGTTGATTGTGCTGAATCTAAGTTTGTGTCCAGGGTTATGCTGCATTAAAAGGCCCGCCACATTCCCAGATGATGGTCCTTCCTAGCAGGTAGTATATCAGCTACTGGACCTGCCCAGTTCATGGAAAGGGTCTCCCTCTCCAAGGCTGAGCTTCCGGGTCAAGTACACTATGCCTTGCTCTTCCCCATCATGGACCTATGATAGCACAGCATCCAGGGAGTCTGAAGAATCTGTCTGGTGGATAAAAGGGCAGCCAAATCTAGTGCATGCAGAGCCAAGGAGGATGCTATCTTAAGAGCCTTTCTAAGCACCTGGAATGCTTTCTCTCCTGCAGAGCCCCAAGGAACATTCTCAGGTTGTTTTGTCAGGTCTGTCAATGGTGCTGGTTAACAATGAAAAGTTGGGAATTAAACATTAAAAGTAACCAGCGAACCCCCCAAAAACGTAACTGGGTCTTGCTGAACTTTCTAGAGAGCATCAACTTTAGTCTGCTTGGGCTGATTGATTCCCTGGTCAAAGTTGTAGCCCATGTACTTTGCCTCTGCAAACTCCAGATGACAATTTTTGGGGTTACCTGTGAGCCCAGTGCTCCAAAACTCTAACAGCACCCTCCACGGATGAGTAAAGTGGTCCTCACAAGACCTCAAGTTGGACCACAACATTGTCCATTTAAGCGGCAACATACGTTAAGAGGAGGATATCCATCAACCTCTGGAACATTGTTGGGGGTCCTTGGAGCCTGATCGTGCCAGTGGCCACTGGGGTTGCAAAAGCTGGTCTTCTCCTTTGAGCCGGGCAACTTACCAAGTATCCTTTGGTTAAGTAATGAAACACTGCCTTCAGTGCCCCTTCCTTCCGAGGCACAGGGTACCTGTCAAAGATGGATGTTTTGTTGAGCTTCCTGAAATGCTATGTGTCCTATGTGATGAAAACGTTATCATGATCCTAGGTAATCCTACGTGAAGATTAGATGACTCCCAGCTTTAGCATCTTTTGGACTTCCTCTTCAATATCCAACCAGTGAGCTTTTGGTACTTCATAAGGCGACTGCCTTACAATGACTCAAGTAAGGTATGGTCACTTCATCCTTTATACTCTATATATTTTATGGCAAGGTTTTCAATCTAGTCTCGCATGGATCGGCACAGATCACCACCAGCTGAATTAGATTCCCAGGAGGGAATATACTAGGAGGAGAAGACAGCAATGAGATATTTCTCTCAATCTCTTAAGACTTCTCTCTCTCTCAATACCCAATATCCAGTTGATGATTGGTGCTCACACTTCCAACCACACCTTCCCTGAACATTTTTACTTTCTTGGCCTGAAGATGCCAATATGTGTATATTGAACTAAGAATCTTTGAGCCAAGTCAAAACCAGTTCTACAAGAATGCAAATAATATTTAAGTGTAAAATACAATAAATAGTTGAATAAAGGGGTCTTCTTGAATTTAAGCCAAGGTTCATGATGAGATTGACTCAGTGATCGGTGAACGTCAGCCGGTGCCGGACGACAGGAAAAACTTACCATATACAGATGCTGTCATCCATGAAATCCAGAGATTTGCAGACATATTGCCCATCGGTTTACTCCGTCAGACCAGCTGTGATGTTTATCTGAATGGATACCTCATTAAAAAGGTCTGCCTCAAAAAATAACAATGGTAAGGATTATGCATTTATACCATTAAAATTGATCAGTCTTGATGTTTTGTACAGGGCACCAGCGTGTTCCCACTAATAGCATCTGTGCTGAGGGATGAAAATGAGTGGGAAACACCTGACAGCTTTAACCCGAAACACTTCCTAAATAAACAGGGCCAGTTTGTGAAAAAGGACGCCTTCATGCCCTTCGGTGCAGGTAGAGTTTGAATTAAATGTACTCTATATTATCAACATATACAGTTAAAGACAAAAGTTTACATACACCTAGCAGAATCCCAAAAATGTTATTTATTTGACCAAAATGAGTGGTCATGCAAAATGCATGTTATTTTTTATTTATTTCAAGAGTTAACACTTAGCTGATGATTTATCATGAGCTTGTTTGGCATGCTGTCCTGGGACAGAGCCCTGAGCTCAAGGGATCCTCGAGCTCAGGGCCCCCTTCCATTCATAGAGCGAGAGGAGAGCTTGAGCTCAGGTAGATCTCAAAAACCCCCCGGCTGAAGTGGCTATGGTAAACTACTTTGAGAAGGAAGGGAGTTAGACAGAGTGCCTGTTTTGCTTAGTCTGTTATGTATGAAGCACAGAGTGGCGCGTCTATAGAGGCGACCTAGGCGGCCACATAGGGCGGCAGAATAGAGACAGTGGCATCCGAACACGTCCCGCACCACCTGCGTCCTCAGTTATATCCGCGCCTAGGGTGGCAGAATAGAGAGGGCGGCGTCCGCAACACTTCACTCAGATGACCGGTCACTTTCGTTTTCACTTTCGGGTTGAGGGCGCCGTGATTGTCCTTTGCCTAGAGCGGCAGTTCAGCTTGCTCCGGCCCTGATGATGGATATCTTTGGATGGTGGGAGGAAACTGAAGAACCCAGGGAAACCCATGCGGACACGGGGAGAACATACAAACTCTGCACAGAAACACTCACCAGCCAAGTGAGGACCAGGGTTGGCAATGGTAACCCAGGTTGGTAACCACTGGGCTGCCGTGCCACCCAATCTATGTGAAAAAAGAAGGAGAAGGGGGTTTTTTTTCCAGATGAAGATAAATATAGATTGAAGCCTGTGGTTATTTAAAGTACCTCAGGAATTATATGTTTGGGGGCTCATGATTAGCTAATGCGAGGCTGACTATGGTAAATCATAAACATGTGATCCTTTTAAAATTAGTTTATAATTAAACTTCACTTAGTACTGTCTAGAATGAGATATTTCACTTAAAAGACATCTGTGTTACATCTGTGACCCTGGACTACAAAACTTTAGGTCTTTTATATTTGTATATTTGTAGAAAAAAACAACTATACGCGTATGATCAGAAAAAAAATCCATTTATGCTAAAAATTTTTGAATATTAAGTAAAGATTAAATTGAATATTTGATTAGTAATGCTCATTACTGAACGCCCGTGCACACCGGGACGCTTTTTGCTCACGTTTTCCATCAACGTTTAACGCCTTGTGACTAAATAAAGGGCACCAATGTGATCGAGCAGGCCAACGCGCGAAATGCCAGGCGTAAAAGCATCAAACGCCTCATGCTCTGTTTTTTTGTTTTGACGCGCCACATCAAAACCTTCTCCACCAATCTGATTGCCACTTTCGATCACATGCACGGAGCTGCTGAAGTTCCAGTAAACAGCAGTTGGAGGCGCTCAAGCGCAAACCTACCACATTAAAGGGTCACGAAACACCAAAACACATTTTTTGAGCTGTTGACAGTAGTATATGTGTCCCACACTGCTAAAAACACTATTAGGACACCTATATTTCACTAAAAAGTGTAAATTGGTTGTTTTTGCGTTATTTCAAGCAAATTCGTACTTCCTGTTTGAAACGAATTTTTGAAGCTGCGTCACGGTCATGACATAATAGCGTGTATTCCAGCGTGCAGACTGGGCGTCTGTGCCAGAGTGAGTCTTATTACGTCTTACAGTGTGATACATTAATGCATGAGTAAGGCTTGGTTCAAACCAATCAGCGCGCTCTACTGTGCAACTTCATTAATATTCATTTGTGTCACCGTGCTTACACCACAAAGACGCCACGTTGTGTTGGCAAAACAAGCGTGAAGTGTTGCTTTTATAGTTTGCTGCCGTTAAGTTTCGTTTTCATTTTCTCTCTGTGAGAGCTTATCTGGATCACGTGTGGATTACAGTGTACGCGACGCTCGACAACAATAACTTACGTGTCTAAGGGGGATTATTGTTTACCTGAGAGCTGTTCTCATCTGCAAACGCTGAAATCTGGATTCGCTTGTAGTCTTCTCTCCATATAGACGCGGCTCTAGTTGCTGGTGATTGTCCTGTCTCTACAGATTTGGTAAGTGAGCGACCAGTGCTCTTTGTTTATTCAGTTTGTTCGTATCGAATTAAATTAACTATTGCACTGAGTGAAGAAATGTTAGCACCGCATTTTGTGACCGGAATAACACACGCGGCTTTCTGACACTACCTGCCGTATGCATCTAAGTTTCCGGGAAATGCTGAGGTTTTTTTTTTCTCTCATTCGCCGTGCGGTATCAAACATTGCATGATAAATACACGCTTAGATCAGTTCCTCGAATCAAATATCTCGTTTGTCGCGAGAGGCATGAATGAATTCCCTGAATGAAAGAGCCAAACTGCAGTTAAGGTCCAACATTTAATAATTTGGCAAATAATTCGACTACAGATGTCCATGTAGGTTAAACACCATCACTTTCTCCTGTCTGTGTGGGTGTGTATTTTGACTCTGAAACTTGCGCGTGCACAAATAGACACTCCCACACCATCCCACTTTAGTTCCTCCGACACTCCCCCCTAAACAGAGCTGGACACGCCCACTTTTCTGACTTTTTCCAAAGTAGAGGTGTGAAAACACCCTGCTGAAACGAGGGGGTTTCATGGCCCTTTAAAGAAGATGCCCAGAGGCGTTATGAACGTAAAGCTGCTTATTGCTCTGCTGAACAATAATAATTTCTTCATCACTGGAGCTGCTTCTTGAACCATCTATGCTTGTCCAAATCACCAGTAACTTTAACAACAAGCGTGTCAACTTGTCCTCTTCTTCTGTGTTAAAAGCGGGTGTCAGAAGCTTAAAGTTGTGTAGCACCATCTAACATCAAGGAATGATTTTGCGTTCTCTTCTGCTCAATGGCAGTCAAAATCAATCATGTTTGAATACAGAAAAACATCTCGAAAAACGCTGACGATAAACGCAAATGAAAAGCGTCCCAGTGTGTACAAGGACAACTTTAAAACCAATTGTCGCCATATTTTGTGAAGTTTTTTTAACTAATTTCGAGAGGAGCACGTGATATAATTGACTGCAGCTGGCCACCTATCTACACTCATTAGTTAGCCAATCAGATCTATCCTAACTCACTATAAGTAGCCTAGCTAGATATTACTTTCTTATCTTCGTATTCCGAAGAAACCCCCCATCCACCCCTTTCTCCTCCTCTACTCTTTTACAAAAAAGGGGAGCTCTCGAGAACCACCTGATCTAGTACTCCCCTCACATGCTCTATGGACCTGGCGGGAGCCCTGGGCTCAACTATCTCCGAGCTCAGGGTTCTCTCCCGGGACAGCATGCCAAACCTGCTTACAGTTGTCAAGCAATATCTAAGTGTGAACTCTTGAAGTTATTTTTTGTGTGAATGCATTTTTGAATTTTGAATAGATTAAAATGTAACATATTTTATCTTCCATGAAACACGTAAGTATCTTTATTTAGTTTCTAAATGATACTTTTTAAATTACGGGGGTTGGGGGAGACAAAAAAACAAAACAACAAACATCATCTGTTCAAAAGTTTTCACCCCCCAGCTATTTAATGCATCAGTTTTACTTCTACAGCATCAATGAGTGTTTAACCCTTCTGTAATCGTTGCATTGAAGTTTCTCAGTTGTTCTGGTTTAACTGATTAAGAAAACCAAGAGACATACATTTTACATTTAGTCATTTAGCAGACGCTTTTATCCAAAGCGACTTACAAATGAGGACAAGGAAGCAATTTACACAACTATAAGAGCAACAATGAATAAGTACTAAAGGCAAGTTTCAGGTCTGTAAAGTCTAAGAAGGGAAGTGTTAGTAGTTAGTTTTTTTTTTTTTTTTTTTTTTTTGTACAGTTAGTTAGTGTGATATTCAAAGAGGCAAATAGGAAGTGAAGTGGAGACTAAATAGTTGAGTTTTTAGTCGTTTCTTGAAAGTAGCGAGTGACTCTGCTGTTCTGATGCAGTTAGGGAGTTCATTCCACCAACTGGGCAGATTGAGCGTGAGCGTTCGCGAAAGTGATTTTTTCCCTCTTTGGGATGGAACCACGAGGCGACGTTCATTCACAGAACGCAAGTTTCTGGAGGGCACATAGATCTGCAGAAGTGAGAGCAGATAAGAAGGAGCAAGGCCAGAAGTCACTTTGTAGGCAAACATCAGAGCTTTGAATTTGATGCGAGCAGCAACTGGCAGCCAGTGCAAACGGACTAGCAGCGGAGTGACATGTGCTCGTTTAGGTTCATTGAAGACAACTCGTGCTGCTGCATTCTGGAGCAGTTGAAGAGGCTTGATAGAGTTAGCTGGAAGCCCAGCTAGTAGAGAGTTGCAGTAATCCAGTTTGGAGAGAACAAGAGCTTGAACAAGGAGTTGAGCTGCATGTTCGGATAAGAAGGGTCGGATCTTTCTGATGTTATAGAGTGCAAATCTGCACGATCGAGCAGTTCTAGAAATGTGGTCAGAGAAGTTTAGTTGGTCATCAATCGTTACTCCAAGGCTTTTCACCATTTTGGATGCAGTAATGGTTGCCCCATCCATCTGGATTGAAAAGTTATGGTGTAGAGTCGGGTTGGCAGAAACTACAAGCATTTCCGTTTTTGCGTTTTTGCGAGACTCAAGAGACTTATGAATAACGATTATTAAAAATAAAATATAAAACCTGCTCAGCTCTGTATCATTCAGGGAACCTATATTATAATGATTTTTCTCTTGTGGATTATATGAATAGCATGTATTTAGAATGATCACTCTTTTTAATATTTAACAATTCACAGATTCTGCAAGGTATACATAAACTTTTGACTGTATTAAATGTTTACAGTCACGTCAGTTGGTTTTAGTCAGTTTTCTGTGTATGGTTTCCTCAGGCCGTAGGCTTTGTATCGGAGAGAGTTTGGCCAGGATGGAGCTGTTTCTGTTCTTCACATCTCTCCTTCAGCATTTCTGCTTCACTCCTCCTCCTGGAGTGTCTGAAGATGAGCTGGATCTCACACCAGTCGTGGGCTTCACACTCAGCCCCATGCCCCATAAACTGTGTGCAGTGAAACGATTTTAACATTGACATGTTGTTGGTTTTATGTTTAATTTTACATATTTGCTTGTATATTGCATTTCATAGCTTCTATTAGATCAATTTGATTTCTGATTCCCCTGATTTCCTTATCGAGGATATATGTATGGATATTCTGGTCTGCTCACTTTCCCAAGGAACTCTCAAAAATGGATAACATGGAATAAAACATTAAACAACCTAACATTCTTGGTCCTCCAGGAACATCTTTACTTGTTGATAATCACTTTAATTGTCTCAGTGTGATTTGATATCTAGGTCTCAATTTCACAGCAGTCACTTGTTTTCTGAGAATTGTCTTCTGTTGATCTTGGTTGTGCTCCTGATGCCGGTTGCCATTTTCCTATTCCGAGGTACAAATGGTCTCAAGTGACCTCATGTCAAGCTATTACAACTGTGAATGTATGGTTGTTTGTTCTGATTTGAGTATATACTGTAAGAGAAAGGTTCAAACAGGTCAGCGTATTTCTCTAGTCAGGTGTGCTTCTCTTTAGTGATGGGTCATTCTTGAACGTTTCGTTCATTTTGAACGAATCTTCAATATGACTCGGGAACCACAAGTCCTCTCAGAAAGTGATTTGTTCATCCGCGCGTGCTCACATTTGTGCAGGTGGTATCATTTCAAGTCTTTTGAGTCGTTCATCACGGAAAAGCAGAAGCCAATCATATGCATTTAGAGCCGGAAAAATAATTGATCCGTTCATCTCTCGAGTCCTCTATCGGGTTTGAGTTATTCGTTTATTACGGGCCAATCATATGCATTTAGAGCCAGAAAAAGTATTGATCCGTTCATCTCTCGAGTCTTCTATCGGGTCTGAGTCATTCGTTCATCCCAGGCCAATCACATGCGTATAGAGCCGGAAAAAGTATTGATCCGTTCACCTCTAGAGTCCTCGTCTGAGTCGTTCATCACGTGAAAGACAGAAGCCAATCGTATGCATTTAGAGCCGGAAAGAGATTTGATCCGTTCAATTCTCGAGTCCTCCGGGTTGAGTCATTCTGTCACGTGATGAACAAACGACTCAAGAACCAGATGACTGGCAAGGTGAACTACAGTAATTATCATGGCTCAGACTGTGTACATTGGTTAAGATTATATGTGACTGTCAGTGTAACGTGAACAAACCACTGGCATTTGAAGACATGAAGAGGTGAGCTGAGCAAAGAGACACCAATACCTTTATAGACAAAAGAGCAGGTAAACACTGAATTATTATTTTCTCCTTCTTATAGTTTTCTATTTATGACTTATTTGTTGTGTGATCAACCAATTGGGCTAGTTGTAGATGTGTTTGGAAGCAAATCGTAATATTTTAATAGTAATTTGGCAAATTAAACCAAATGAACGAAATGACTCAAAAAAAGATTCGCTCATCTCGATGAACGAGTCTCAAAGATCCGAGTCAATAAAATGATCCGAACTTCCCATCACTACTTCTCTAACTCTTTCATCTTTCTTTGAGCAATTGATGTTGTGTATTTATAATCCCTGATTTGGCTCATCGATGTTTACCAATAAAAGGTTATGATCAATTCATTTCAACTCTTTATGACTAGTATATTATCAATATATATAGCGCGAGAGAAAAACGTTATCGTATGCTATTTTTCTTTTCGTTCTGCTTAATCACGTGCCCCCAAAAACGATATTTAAAGATATTTAGTGTTGGCAGGTATGTGTTAACCTTTATATGAAGATGGTTTTAGGGTGATTCAGTGGTTAGCACTGTTGCCTCACAGCAAGAAGATCAAAGGTTCGAGTCCTTGGCTGGGCCAGTTGGCGTTTCTGTGTGGAGTTTGCATGTCCATGATGGTGTGGGTTTCCTCCAGGTGCTCCAGTTTTCCCCACAGTCCAAACACATGCGCTATAGGTCAACTGGATAAACTACATTGCCCGTAGTATATGAGTGTGAATGAGCGTGTATGGAGGTTTCCCAGTACTGGGTTGTAGCTGAAAGGGTATCCGCTGTGTAAAACATATGCTGAATAAGTTGGCGGGTCATTCCACTGTGGCGACCCCTGATGAATAAAGCAACTAGGCAGAAGGGAAATGAATGAATGAATGAATACGGGTTTGTAAAATAGTCCTTCTGTCTAGACATTTAATGAATAATTACTGTACAGTATCTGAAAAACATTTTGATTATAAGAACTACATATAGACTACAGAGTGTTTGCTTTCATTTATTGGTGTAATGAAACAGTATGCTTTGGTTACACAGTCTACAAACTAACGCACATTAACAAAGCTTTTGACTTACATGTAGAAGTCAGCAAGAAAACAATGAATGTTTTGGTAGCACATTCCTCACAAAGGTGTTTGTTGTATTGACAGAAATAGATGATCGCTATCTGTACACTATAAAGCTTCATTTCTGAGTTACCTAAAGCAATATGAGATTAAATATGATTCAAACACAACCCAGCCGTCCAATATTTTAAGATGAAATCACCTTACAATTTGGGGGGAAAAAAAGCATGAATGCAGATTCAAAGTTTGGCCTTTTCTTTTCTATCCTTTATCATCTTCACTATATGACAGTTGAGGTCACTTCGTATTCCAGAGCTTTCCAAAGAGATCACAGTTTCACACCAGAGCTCTTTATCTTTACGTTTCTTGATATCTTTGACTTTAAACTTCTCATATGGAGGAATCAGCACTTCTCTCTCCTCAGGATACTTAGAGTATTTCTCAATATGAGCACCTTCACAGGTGTGAATTTCAAAACAAGTTGTACCTCCATATCCTTCAATCACTTTTTTGTCTAGAGAGGTGGATGTAAATGAGCCAAAACGAACCTCGCTTTCTTTAACAACATTAACATCCATTGTGGTAGCACGATATGTGTTATGGCATTCACCTTTCAGCTTCTGTAATCCTTTTGTTAAAAAAAAGTGAAGTGAGTACCAGTTGTATTTAAGAGTCTTGTAATTAGATTTTCCATTGCGAGCATCAGTATTTAAATTTCTAAACACTTTTAGTCCGTTGTTAGTGTAAACATGAATGGCGATTAAATCCAACTCCTTGTATATTTTACTAGCTTCAAGCCAAGCTATAGAATAATTTCTAGACTTTTTAAATTCCTCTTTCAGATATGTATCGAGCACCAGTTTTCCCATTTCAGCACTGCATCCATCAAACTGATCATCAACTGAATCCTCTGCCATATCCAAATTCACTCCTTCGATAGCCGCTCTGTGATCCTGCAGTGACAGGAATCATAATGATCAGATCATCAGTGTTGATGTGTGTAATAATATTGATACTACACTCTCAGAAAAAAAGGTACACGGTGGTACAAATAATGTTCCTTGAGGGCCAGTTTTGTACCTTTGTAAAACCTTATATGGGACAGAAAAGACCTCTTATGATTCTGTTCTGTACCTTTTATGGTACAATTCAAATGAAGGTACATAATTGTTTTCATAAAAAGGTACACTCTCAGAAAGAAAGGTACAGGAGCTGTCACTGGGGTGGTACCTTTTTAAACAGTACATATTTGTACCTGAAGAGTCCATAATGGTACTTCAGAGGTACTTTTTAGGTACATTTGGGTACTAATATGTATCTTTTGAAAAGGTACTGTCCCAGTGACAGCTCCTGTACCTTTAGTTTTGAGAATGTACATAAGTGTTGGACAACTCCTTCTTTGTTACAATATCTATGAAGATAAAGATTACTGGAAAGGCAAAATGATTTATGAATAATTTCCATATTGAAACATGAATCATCATTTAAAAGCATATGTTTAAAGAAACCCATAAACAATAATTATTAAGTTCTATAATGCAATAATACAAAACAACTGGTAAAACATTTGTGTCTTTAGCCCCTTTCACACAGTGATACCGGTAAATATCCGGAAAATTTCCGGAACGACTTTACCGGTAAATTCAAAAAAGCGCTGTTCACACAGGAAACGACGTTACGGAATTTTTCCGGAAAAGAGCATTCACACATCCATCGCAAAATGCCGTTAAATTCTGACATCATTAACTAGAAATGAGCTCTAAACGGCTGCGCTTGTGTTTGTAAACATTTGACTACATCACAAACTCTGTGGATGGATCAGTATTGTGAACAACCCCAATGAAAACATATAGGGAAACACTTGCGCATGTCGAGATGTTCAAGATATGTGTGTGTGCTGGCGCTATGGGCGGTCGGGCACACGCAAAGCTTGAAAGTAAACAAACAACGGATTATCATAAACTTTTTATCGATAATTATTTACACAGTTAGCATTAAGAAGGAACATATAAACATTATTTGACTAACATCTAGCAGCTAAAGGTGTCCGGAAAAATATTGAAAGGCTTTTATTCTCATTAACCGCGCGCACGTGAATGCATCGGACTGTTCTGATTGGCTAAAGTAGACGTCTCACGTCAGCACAATCTAGACGTGTGCGCGCTCTTTGCGGAAATCTTCCTTCTGGGTTCACACAGCGCAGCATTCCGGCAAATTACCAGTAATGTTACAACTTCTCTTTCCGGAAAATAGCCGGAATGAATTTACCGGTATTTTCAAAAAGGTTGCCGGTAATTTTCCGGAAAGGTCTGTATGTGTGAAAGGGGCTTTTGATGAAGGTACGTTTTGGTTTCCCATGGTATGAATCAGGTTTTTAAAGGTACATACTGCAATGGTACAAATTTGTTTCTTTGTCTTAATGTACAATTCTGTTCCATAACAAGGTACTGCCCCAGTGACAAGGGTTTGTACCTTCTTTGGTACAACATTGTACCATTTTTTTCTGAGAGTGTAGAACACAAGCTCACCTGTAGAGCAGCTACAATGAGGAGAAGAGCCACAACCATCATCTTCATTCAGTGGTCACCAGTGGTCTAGAAGATGCAGAGACTTCAGTGCTTTCTGATAGATACGAATGAATAAATAACTGATTTAAAAAAAATTATCTACCACCTCAAACTAATAAAGTTTATATTTTACTTCAACCACAAAGTTACCTGGATCTTTACCTGGAGTTGTGTTTTCCTGGAGTTCAGAAGCAACGATGAGATGAGGAGATCTGAAGAGTCAGCTGCTCGTAACCAGATGACAACAGCGCTCTTGGAAAGCTGGCTTTTTATATTGGTCTAATTGTATGTGTGCGTGTGTGGATATGTGCATGCGTGCATATACATGTCTTGAGTCAAATGAGCAAGATAAGATGGCAGTGCTATTTAAC